CGCGCCGTTGCCCTCGGCGTCCAGGGCCGCGGCCACCGCCGGCGCGAGCGCCTGCGCGTCGCCCGATTGCACGTAGGCGCGCGCGGCGTCGGCGACGGAGAGGTATTTGCCGTCCCTGTGGACGCCGACGCTGTAGCGGAGCATGGCCCGGCACCGGAGCGCCCGGCGGCCGCGGTCCGAGACGGGCCGGAGCGCCCCCGCCGCCGCCGCGAGCGCCCGGAGGCCCCGCTCGCTCACGAAGGACAGCACGGCCTCGCAGCGGAGCGCGCCGTCGACGAGCGCCGCGGCGTCGCGCGGCGCCGCGGGCGCGGGCGCGACGGCCGCCGGCGCCGCGGCGGCGGCGTTTTCGGCGTCGCGCTTGAGCTTCGCGAAGACCGCGGCGTCCTTCGAGCCGGCGCCGGCGACGGCCGCCTCGCGGTCCAGCGCGTTCTCGTACGCGAGGGCCGCGCCCGCCGCGTCCCCGGCGACGAAGCGCGCGGCGCCCAGCCGCGCCCAGAGCTTGGAGGCGTGGGGCGCGAGCTGCACGCTCCGCGCGGCGAGGTCCAGCGCGCCCGCGGCGTCGCCGCCCTTGAGCGCGCAGAGGCTCGCCTGTGTGGAAATCAACCAGTGAGCTGGGACGTCGAGGCCAAACTTCAGAAATCTCTAGCTCGGTCACATCGAAGTCGATTCGGCTGATTTTTGGACGGATCGATCGCTCTCAGCGAGTTCTCGAAGCACGGCGGAAGTGCTTGTGTCAAAACATTCGAATGCGCGCACATTGAAGTCGGGTTGAAGATTTGATTTGCGCGCAGAGGCTCGCGTTGCCCAGCAGCAGGCCCTGCTGCTCGAAGGCCCAGGCCACGAGGCCGGCGTTCCTGCCGTCCTCGGCCGTCGCCGGCGGCGCCAGCTCCTGGCTCAACCCGTCGGCCGCGGCGATGTAGTGGCCGCGCGCGTCGTCGACGCGGCCGGCGGCGAAGAGCCGCGCGGCCTCGGACTTGGCCCGCTCCCAGGGCCGCCGCGCGGGGCGCGGCAGGCGCCCGAGGCAGCCGCAGGGCACGCCGACGAACTCCTCGGCGCAGCGCGCCGCGACGGACCCGGCGACGGCCAGGCCCGTCGTCGCCGCCGCGGCGCGGAACTTGTCGCTGCCGCCGCACGCGCCGAGCGCGAGCCTTATCGCGCGCGCGACGGCGAAGTGGCGCCCGGCCTCGGGCCGCCCGGCCGCGAGGGCGTCGATGGTCATGGCCTGGGCGACGAGCAGCGCCTCGGGGTGCGCGGCGGGCTCGAAGCGCCGCAGCAGGACCTCGAGCGACGCCGCGTCGACGGCGTCGCCCGTGGCGAGCACGCCGTCGAGGGCCTCGCCGAGCTTCTCGACGGCTTCGACGCGCCGCGCCGTGTCGCGCCGCTCGCGGCAGCGCGCCCGCGACGGCGCGCCGTGGCGGCAGCCCCGCTCGTAGGCCGGCAGGATGGCCATTACGAAAGCGCGCCGCCAACCGGCGGCCGACGCGACGGCTCCGTCGGCTCCTTGAACGACGGCGGCGGCATGAGATCATACCCAGCGCATGAGATGAGATGAGGTGATGAAATGCCGCGCCGCGCTCGCCCTCGCGGCGTGCCGCGGTGCGCCCGTGGGCTGGTGCGACCACCGCCGGCCGCGGCGGCGGTGCAACGCGACGGCCTGCTGGGCCGACGGCGTTTGCGGCTCCGCGGACAGCGTCTGGCGGCCCCTCAGCGGCGACTTCTCCAACGCGACGCTGCGCGGTCGCGTCGAGATCGTCGTGTCGCACTGCTCCGTGCCCCTGGCCTGGCTCGACGGCGACATCGCGGCGCTGGCGGCGCGCGGCGTCGACGTGGCGCGCGTGTCCGTCTACTCCAAGTGCGGCGGCGGCGGCGACGTCGGCCTCAAGTTCGAGCCCGCGGTCGTCTACGACTACGACAACGTCGGGCGCTGCGACCACAGCTACGCCGTGCACCTCGCCGAGGCCCACGACTCCCTCGAGGACCTGACGCTCTTCACGAAGGACAGCTTCCGGTCGCAGCCCCGGCGGCGGCGCCGCGAGCTCGCCGACGTCGTCGCGGGCGCGGCGGCCCACGGCTTCGGCTGCGGCGTCGGGTCCGAGGCGTCGGACTGGTACGACGGCCCGACGCTGCGGGCCTGGACCATCCCCAAGTACCGCAAGGCCTGGGACCAGAACCGCGGGCGGCGGCCCCGGCCCGGCGGCTTCGCGAGCCCGCGATACCGCGCGCTCGGCGCCTGGCTCGAGTCCGTCGTCGCCGCGGGCCTGGCGCGCGGCGCGGCGCCGGACCGGCGCGCGCACGCGGCGTCGGCCCTGTCCCGCGCCGCGACGCCCGTCTGCCTCGGCCTGTGCCGAAACCAACCACTGGTTTGGGCGGTCCTGACCAAACTTGAGAATTCTCTAGCTCGGTCAAATCAACGTCGATTCGGCTGATTTTTGGACGGATCGATCGCTCTTGTCGAGTTCTCGAAGCCCAGCCGAAGAGCTTGTGTCAAAACATTCGAATACGCTCACATTGAAGTCGGGTTGAATATTTGGTTTCGGCACAGGCCTCGGCGGCACCTTCGCGGCGACGCGCGCCGGCGCGCGGTCGCTCGGCGCCGAGGGCTGGCGGGCCGTCGCGCGGTCGCTGGACCGCGGCGACAACATCCAGGAGGGCCACTTCGCCGAGCGCGCCTGGGCGACGCTCCTCGCGCCGGACCCGGCGCCGGCGCTCGCCGCGTGGGTCGCGTGCGCGCACCGCGGCGTCGTCGTCGCGCGAAGGTCGAAGCGCCACCGCCAGCCCTACTGCCCCTTCGCCGGCATGCTCCACGCCGGCGGCCTCGGGGCGTGCGACCCGGGGCGGACGCCGCCGAACGCGACGTGCGGCGGGCTCAAGGTGCGCTAAGTGTGGTGTGTTATGTGCACGCGCGCGGGGGGGCCTAGGAGCCGGCGTCCCCGGCGTCCCCGGCTTCGACGTCGCCCCCGGCGTCCCCGGCGTCCCCGGCTTCGACGTCGCCCCCGGCGTCCCCGGCGTCCCCGGCGCCCCCGGCGTCCCCGGCGCCGGCGAGGTCCTCGAGCGTCGTGCCGGAGTGGGCGCGGAGGCCGTCGTCGAGGGACAGGGACCGCCCGAAGTTCGAGTTCGCGATGCCGGGCCCGGCGTCGCCTGGGCAGGACAAGAGAGCGAAATTCCCAACTTCAAAGGCTCCTCTCTCGGCCGGTTTCCACTCGTTTCGGCTGATTTTTGGACGAGCGATCATCTCTCGGAACGGTCTCGAAGCGTGGATGCTTTTCCCAGAACGGGCGCGCGCGGAGCACTCACGTTGAAGCGACGTTGAATCACCCTTGTCCTGCCCTGGGCGTCGCCGCCGTCGGAGCCGCCCGAGTCCGCGCGCGACCGCGCGCCCGACGCGGCCGACGGCCGGCGCTGGACGAGGCCCCCGACGGCCGTCATCTTGAAGCTCGACCGGCGCCGGCCCATCGTGCGGCTGCCCGCCGACTTGTCGTCCTCCTCCTGCGCCTGCTCGTTCTCGCTCCGCTGGAGCTTGAAGAAGTTGCCCGCGGTGTCGATGCGCACCGTCGTCGGCATCTTGTAGGTGAGGAGCTCGCCGGCGACGCGGTTCGCGGCCTCGATGGACTCGAGGCCGTCCTTGGCCCGCAGCAGGGCCGCGGTCGCGCCGTCGTCGTCGTCGACGCGGCGCGCGAGGAACGAGAGCTCCGCGCGGATCCGCTCGAGCGCCGCGTCGATGCGCAGCATGGGCTCCATGCCGTCGCCGCCGTGGTCGTCGTCGCGCGGCGCGGCGTCGCTCGAGTCGACGAGCTCCACGCCGTCGCCGAGCAGCGCGTCGTCCTTGCCCGCGTCCGCGGCCGCGGCGGACTCCTTCGAGCTGGACCGGCCGCCCGGGCCGTCGGCGCTCAGCCACTTCGGGCCCAGCTTCTGGATGAAGACGGAGCCGACGGGCGCCGTGAGCAGGATGCTCAGCACGGCCGTCGTCAGGATCGCGTCGCCGCGGGAGTCGCTGTCGATGATCTGCGCGGGCACGGACGCGAGCGCCGCCTGCACCGTCGCCTTGGGCACCTGGGCAGCACAAGAGTGATTCAACGTCGCTTCAACGTGAGTGTTCCGCGCGCGCGCGTCCCAAAAAAAGCATCCACGCTTGGAGACCGTTCCAAGAGATGATCGCTCGTCCAAAAATCAGCCAAAACGAGTGGAAAACGGCCGAGATATGAGCCTTTGAAGTTGGGAATTTCGCTCTCTTGTCCTGCCCCGTTGGGCGCCCAGGAAAGCGCGACGAACGCGCGCTCGACGAACGTGAGGCCCGAGTCGCCCGTCGCCGCGTAGGCCGCCGGCAGCCGCACGCCGACGCCGACGCCGATGACGAGCAGCGCCTTGGCGATGGTCAGCGGCGCCATGCGGCGGAAGTTCAACTCGGAGCCGATCGCGCCGAAGAGCAGGGGCTGCGCGAGGACGGACCAGAGCGTCGCCAGGTCGTGCTCGACGACGTGGGCGTGGTGCTCGTCGGGGCCCGACGACAGCCGGGCGACGATGCCGCTCTTCAGCAGGCCGCCGCGCTTCCACGCGAGCGCGCCGACGAGGCCCGTCGTCAACGCGCCGATCGCGCCG